AGAGAGAGGAGACGAGAGAGAGGAGACGAGAGAGAGGAGACGAGAGAGGAGACGGAGAGAGGAGACGAGAGAGGAGTCGAGAGAGAGTCGAGAGAGAGGAGACAAGAGAGGAGACGAGTGAGAGGAACAAGAGGGAGACGAGAGAGAGGAGACGAGAGAGGAGACGAGAGAGAGGAGACGAGAGAGGAGACGAGAGAGGAGACGAGAGAGAGGAGACGAGAGAGAGGAGACGAGAGAGAGGAGACGAGAGAGGAACGAGAGAGAGGAGACGAGAGAGAGGAGAACGGGAGAGGAGTCGAGAGAGGAGACGAGAGCGAGGAGACAAGAGAGGAGACGAGAGAGAGGAGACGAGAGAGGAGACGAGAGAGAGGAGACGAGAGAGGAGACGAGAGAGGAGACGAGAGAGAGGAGACGAAGAGGAGTCGAGAGAGGAGTCGAGAGAGGGGACAAGAGAGGAGACGAGTGAGAGGAGACAAGAGGAACGAGAGAGAGGAGACGAGAGAGAGGAGACGAGAGAGAGAGACGAGAGAGAGGAGACGAGAGAGGAGACGAGAGAGAGGAGACGAGAGAGGAGACGAGAGAGAGGAGACGAGAGAGAGGAGACGAGAGAGGAGACGAGAGAGAGGAGACGAGAGAGAGGAGACGAGAGAGGAGACGAGAGAGAGGAGACAAGAGAGGAGACGAGAGAGAGGAGACGAGAGAGGAGACGAGAAAGGAGCAGCGGCTTCTTTCTGGAGAAGGTTTATTCAGATACGAGGCGACACGCAGCAGGGAAGGAGGCCACGTCCCTTCTCATTGAGACTCGTCCCGGGCGCGAGGGACGAGCCGCTTTGTGATGCTAAGTTCACAATCTAGTGGTCAGATTCCCTCTGTGCACTTCATTCCACTCATTCCCATTGAAAGCGTTGATTTGCTCTTGTGGTCTTGGTGCCCATTGATTAAATGTTTCTAAAAGACTATTTAAATATAAAGGTTTTGTCCATTGATCCCGTCCAGACTAATGAGGACGATTGTTTCCTGTGAATCGCTGCGTGTGGACGGAATCTGTCCTGTGCAGACCAGTAACAGTGTCATGTTATATATGTATATATGTTATTGGTAAGATTTATAGTGAGTGATGATAGAAAGACTTGAAGGAGCTTCACGGTATCGACGCTGTCCTGCATTGACACATTGACACATTGTGGACATGAACATTCAGATTATTACAC